AAAAAACATACACAAACAAAACCAAATTAAACCCTGCGGCTCGTGACGATACATTGATGTTTAAAGACACGAAACGATCGGTCTTTGCGAGAAACTGAACAGTATTTATATCGTTTTTTACCTCTGATTCACCGCAATGTCCAAACTGTCCTGAGCGTGTTCTCAACAGCCGAAGAAGAAGACGCCTCACGCGCCAGCTGTTGAGAACACGACGGTTCGGACATTGCGGTGAATCAGATGTAAAAAACGATATAAATACTGTTCAGTTTCTTGCACAGACCGATCGTTTCGTGTCTTTACACATCAATGTATCATCACGAGCCGCAGGGTTTAATTTGGTTTTGTTTGAGTATGTTTTTTTTGACTCTCAAAGCCGTGATTTCCATTCACTTCCATTATATGACTGACAGACTGCAACGGTTTGAGTTAAAAATCTTCGTTTGTGTTCTGCTGAAGAACCCAAGTCACCTACATCTTGGATGCCCTGGGGGTAAGCAGATAAACATCACATTTTCATTTTTGGGTGAACTATCCCTTTAAGCTTGAAACAATGTATTTTTTTGAGCTCACATGCAGTGCACACAGTACATAATTGAAAAGAGCTGATACTGCTTGTGGCTATTCTAGTGAATGTCTGTATTTGGTTTAAGGAAGAACATTGGACTGTATTTAAAGCAGTTTAAGCATAGTTACAGACAGTAAATTTGCACATTGTTGGTACGACGGCCTGTAGTCTTAAAGGGATAGTTCACACAAAAATGAAAATGCTTTTATCATTTACTCACTCTCATGTTGTTATGAATCCATACAACTTTAATTCATCTTCAAAACACAAATGAATATATATTTTTAATGAAAGCTGAGATATTTCTGTCCCTCTGTTGACCACAACTTTGACGATTCAATAAGTTCATAAAGACATCATAAAAGTAATCTATATGAATCAAGCAGTTTAATCAAAGTCTTCTGAAGAGACTTGATCATTTTATGTGATAGACAGATGTGATTCTTTTTTTTAAGCAAATAAACATTGATCAACAGAAATATTTAGAGCACATAAAATAAAGTAAACTTCACCGTACTTGCTTGATACACAGTAACCAATGAGGTTTGTTCTTGCGTGTGAGGCTACTACCATTGAGCTTCTCTTTACCATATTTGATGTGCTCTATGTATGTACGTTGATATATGCAATGTTACACGTAAATAAAAGCCTAAATTAAATTATTTGCAGATTAATCCACTCGATTCATATGGATTACTTTAGGTCTTTATTAACTTTTTAAAACCTCAAAGTTCTGGTGGAATGGACTTTCAATGGAGGGACAGAAAACACTCAGGTTTCACTGAAAATATATTCATTTGTGTTTGGAAAGTGAATGAAAGATGTATGGGTTTGGAATGTAATTAATGACAATTTTAATTAGCTATCCCTTTATTATGTTTAATTAGTTATGCTCAGCACTTTCCGTCAGTGCGGTTAATAGCACATAATTCAACTCAAGTATCATGTTGAAATGACTTCTGTAGGGAGCTAAGTGCACATCCAGAAGAGTCCAGTCCCTCCATAATGGGAAACATGAAACAGTCGCCTTCCCAAAATTCCTGTGACAGTGCCATTTTAGAGGGTAGTCTGGCGGACAATGGCTTGTCCATTGATAGTGACATCAGTGAAAACTTTGTCATCCTCATGGACTCAGGTACAGCAACACTCAATGCACTTTTATTTTAAAAACTAGAACCAGAACTGTCAGTATCTTGAAGTCATGTGTGTTTGTGTTGTTGTGATTCAGAGTCTGGTGTGGAGTCGTTGCGTCCTAATGGTACGGGTGTCTCAGGCAGCTGTGTTAGTCCAGCTCCAGGAACAGAAGGGTCGTCAGCAGACCTCAGCAGCTCTCTGTCCCAGAGCACGGAAGACATTGCCCAAGATATGGTGAGTTTTATCTAGCGCACTGTAGCGCATATAGATGGCTAAACACCTGCCACTTTTTCTCTGCATGGAAGAACTTCAGAAAATGCATCATAAAACTGATAATCATTTGCTCACTATCATGTGCTTATAAAATCCATATGGCAAAGAAAGCATAACGTGACCATGAGTTTATATCACATTTGCCCATATTCAAACAGTAAACATGTTTTAACATTGGCTTTAATGCCTGTGAGGCAAGTACTTTAGTGATTGCCGAGGGGAAGTTTAGTAATCAATCAGTGCTCAGGATTGATCAGTAGCATTTACTGTGATCTTAGTTGGTTGTGTGATTTTTAATGAACGCTCTGATTTTATTTCAGGTGTCTGTGTTAGTTCTGTGTCTGAGGCGAATAGGGTGCCTGACGGAGAAGTGTGGTGAAGATATCGTGGTGGCGCTGGAAGCCCAAGAGCTTGTGCCTAAACAACATAGCAACCATAAAGTCATAGACCTGCTGGCGGGACTGGCACTGACTGAGGGTTAGGATGCTAAATGTGTCCATAAATGTGAATGCCAAAATAATAATTTGGCCACTTTTTTTGACCGCTTTGTTTAAATTAACTTTAGGCACAACACTGTTTACATGAATCTCCTGCCCAAACATCCCCAAGATTCCAATAGTGATCGCTTTCACTGTCAGCACCAGTTCGAATGACCTTGTGCTAATTCAGTTTCTCAGAAGTCGACAAACGTACATGCGAGTCTGTTGGACACATCTGTTTCATAAGATCACACATCATTAAAGGAATAGTTCACCATTACATTACTTGTTCACCAGTGGATCCTCTGCAGTGAATGGGTGCCGTCAGAATGAGAGTCCAAACAGCTGAATGGTGTTTTATATAATATATAATATTTTCATAACATGAGCCGCTTAAAATTATGAAAATTATCAACATTTTATTCAAAATGGTAAGCAAGCACTGCTTTATGTTTTGTATGTCTGCGTATATCTGCTTGTATATTGTTTCTGTTTCTCCTTTTGAATGATGAATCTATACTATTGATAGCTGCTGATATAGACAGTTAACTCCTCTCATGCAGGCACAAAAGGCACGTGCTAGTTTGCAATCAGCTGTAGTCTGTGTTCAAGCGCAGCGTTTTGGTCCAGACACAGTTGATACGAGGCAACAACATTGGCTTTTGTCGTCACTAATTTTTTGAAGTTGGCTTGGTGTGTCCTGGCATTGATAAAAACTTCAAAATAATTCACAAGTAATCCACACGACTCCAATCCATCAATTAACATCTTGTGAAGCGAAAAGATGTGTTTGATAGAAACAAATCCATCAAGTCGTTTTTAAATTCAAATCGTTGCTTCTGGCTAAAATACGAGTCCTCAATTCATAATTTTGCCTTTTCTGGTGAAAATGTCATCTCGTCTGAGTGAAATCAAGCACCGTTTACAAACGAAAACAGTCCAAAACAGTTCCAAACAAATATGTGAGTGGATTTTAATGTAAAAGTACAAGAGGGGATGGACTTTTTCACTGGAGGAAGCGTTATTATGGATTATGGACTCATATTTTGGCCAGAAGCGACGGTTTAGAGTTAAAACACCTTTAAGGGTTAGTTCACCCAAAAATGAAAATTAGGCTGCGTTTTACTCACCCCCGAGGCATCCTAGGTGTATATGACTTTCTTCTTTCAGACGAATCCAGTCGGAGTTATATTAAAAATTGTCTTTGATCTTTTAAGCTGTTTAATGCCACTCAGCGGGTGTTGCATTGCTTCAGTCCAAAAGAAGTTAAATAAAAAGCGCCCATCCATTAAAAAAAGTGTCTCACATGGCTCCGGGGGGTGAACAAAGGCCTTCTGTAGCGAATCGATGCGTTTTTGTAAGAAAA